AGGTTGAAAGTCTGTAGTAAGCAAGGGACCAGATGTTGGTAGATAATGACTGATGTTGAGCTTTTTTCAACTCATTTTCCTACATTTTATAAAAAAATAACTGCCACCGTTTGGCACATTTAGCGCATTCTACCTCGCCCAAGGGAAGAGTGCCTGGCGAAGCCAGGTCGGCCCGGCGAAGCCGGGCCGTGAAACAGAAGGAGGAGCACCCGGCGACAGCCGCCGGGTGATCCGATTGGTCTACGTATAAAAGTGGTGCACAAAAATACAATACTGGGTGCAATATTTTGTATATTATATGTATAAGACAGAAATCTTATGTGTTTATACTCAGCGCGCCACAAGTCGCGTCGATAAAACGGCGTCGGCCATAGGAGCCGGTTAGCGCAAAAAACGCCGCGGTACGCAATGGGTTAATGCTACGAGTGTAACCCATTGCAAGTTGCTACCAGTTGCGAATTGCAAGTGACACTTCTTGCTTTCATTTTTGTAACCAGCATTTCAACCCCCTTGAAATGGCTATAAGAGGCAATTTTCATAGTACCCACACTATGTCCCGCTTAATCAGTCACGCTCCTTTGTAAGAATCAATCTTTTCTTGACAAATTGAAATTAAATTAATTAAAAGAATTAAAATTAATTAAATTGTTTAAACATTTAAAAAATAGAAAAAGTGGTTCTTGTGATGCACGAATATTTTGTCGCTCAAAGACCTAATCGTCAACATACAAGGCGTCTCGCCCTCTAAGGTCAAAAGCTCCCTTTAATTTTTTCTAGGAAATTGTATGAATTTCCAAAATTTTGGGCAGAATTTCGGGGCCCCCTTCATCTAGGATTTGAAAAGCCTAGGCCTAATATTCCAAGGTTCCGCGAAATATGAACCTTTCCCCTGGTTTTTCCTGAGCGGCACATCTACATCAACGGATTGGAGTTCAAAATACGGAAGATTCAAATCTGATAAATCTCCTCTAACCTTCTCATTGAAAGCGACGAACGATTATTGTGTTCATCTTCCTCAACGGCAGACGTGCTAGTGTTCAGGCCATCACAACCCTGAAGTCAGCAACAAATTCAGTGAAACGAAATTTTTTCTTCTCAAAGCTCCTATGGTTACACTAGGTCTGCTCGCAAGGGCGTAGTTATACGGGTAAGTACGATTTTCTCACTTATGGGTTTCAAAAGAGGAGCGCACCAATGAACGAAAGGAAATGGTACAAGTGACTCCGCCCACACCAAAATCAAGGAACAATGTGCTTCCGAAGACAGGTGCTCAATTTTAAAGAAGATACGTGAGTCCCTTCTCGAAAACTGAGCACCATAAGCTGCTATCAAAAACGCATTATATCCTTGTTTAAATTTAATTTGTTGTTACGTGTATATGCTATGTTTAGATTTATGTTCAAATTTGTGAATATTATTCACCTCCATATTGAAGAGATCCATTTCCAATACGGACAGCAGCAATTCCATGAGATTGTGGTTCACACCATCTTCTCTAAGATAATCTAATGTATGGATGATAAGTCGTAAATCAGATTAGCAGCAGCGAACTCACGTGAAGGTTTCCAAGATCATTTTTCTGAATTCAGCTACTCTCGAAATAAGATTCCGTCCCTTGAGAACAGATCCGCGTCGACCACTCGACGTCGATGGTTCATCCTCAGCCGGTGAAGCTGCCGTCAATACCTGAACGAAGAGTCTGCTGCAAATCGGAAACCAGGGCCCATCACTATTTGGGAATTTTGGTCGAGCCCGTACGACCCCTCTCCCCGTACGTCCCTAGAGCCCAGCGCTCCGTGGGGCTTAGAGGACGCCCCATGGAGCGCTGGCTCTAGGTGACGTACACGGATGTGAAAATCACCGGCATTCACCCATTTTTGTAGGAGGTTGGTGCAAATCTCCTTCTACCATTCCCTCGATCTTCGCCAACTTCCTACCACTTTGGTAAAGGCCACAAGGGAAATATTAGGTTGTCCGGAAAGTTCTCAGCGTTTTGTGCACCTATTTTTTGTACATTCACTGCTGATTAAAAACTCATTCTGCCTTGCTTCTCAGTAGCACATCCTGTAGAGAATTTCTTGCGCTATCTGATGGTATAATTGCCGTTTCACCATTGCTTGATAAACCCCTTTTTTCAAGATTTTTTCAAGCATGTGAAAAGAGCACTTCGGACGATTTTTTTCTTCGACTATAAATTGGGGCAATCCGCAATCGAAACAGCTCAACAAATTAACCAGGTGTGGGGGCCCAATAGTGCTAGAGAAAGCACTGTGCGGCAATGGCTCAACAAATTTCGTTCTGGAGATTTCAGCCTTGAAGATGAACCTCATAGCGGTCGACCTAAAGCAATTGAGAGAATTGAAGCTGACCCATCCCAAACAGTTCGAGAGATTGCAGAAAAGCTCAGACTAGGCGTTGGCAAATCCAGTGTTGTAGATTGTTTGAAACGCATTGGGAAGGTGAAAAAACCCGACAATTAGGTGCCCCACAATCGGAGTGACCGGCAGGAATCGGCACGTCTCGAGGTTCCTTCTTCACTGCTTTTGCGCAAAAGAATTGACCCGTTTTTGAACGGATTTGTCACCTGTGATGAAAAATGGATCATGTATGATAACAGGAGACGTTCCGGACAGTGGTTGGATTTGGAGGAACCACCGAGGTAATTTTCGAACCCTCACGAAAAAAAATTCTGGTCAGGTTTGGTGGTCATCGGCTGTGTTCCCTTACTTTTTAACACCAGGCCAAACCATCACAGAGACTACTGAAAATCGCGGGGGACCGGAGAGGAAATTTGTCAAGATGCAGGTAACCCAACACTTATCAATAAGAAGCTGCCGTATTCCTTTGCCATGACAACGCCCGCGCCCACACAATCTCAAAAATCACGAAAAATATAATTGAATTTATTGGGGGGGCTTAATTCTAACTCCAACCGCCATATTCTTCAGACCTTTCGCCAACCGACTATCGCCAACCGACTATCACCTTTTCAAACATTTTCAGAACTCCCTTGCTGGAAAATACTTCATCAATCAGGACCAGGCAAAAAAGCCTTAGTGGATTTCGTGAATTTTCGACCACCCAGTTTTTTACTTTGATGGGATTTCTCGACTGCTGTCACATTGGCAAAAGTGTGCTGATTCGAATGGTGCCTATTTCGATTAAATCCGATGAGTATTAAAAAAGTTACGATCGTTTAAAGTGAAACACCCAAAACGCTGAGAACTTTCCGGACAACCTAATACGACCCCTACCCGTGAATCAAGAAAAATCAACTACCAAAATAACTAACAAAATAAATTCTCAGCCCAGATACGACCCCTGTTGGGGAGTCCACAACAACGATGTGCCCTGTGGCAAACACTTCAGAAGCAAAATCCAGAACAGTGTAAGCTTCTGCTAGGCCAGAATAAGTGAAGCATTTGCTGAGCCATGTTATTATTCACATCTGCTGCCTACTTCTTCGCCAAAAGAAGTGTGGGGCCAATAAGAACGATAAGATGTGCGCCTACATGCCTTTTCTGAATATAAAGACGCCCGCAAGCACAAAAAACTGACTGTAGAGTGCCTAGAGCTCAGCCTCTCCCGCAGTAAGGACTCAGATAAAACTATTATTCGGCGAATAGAGCATTGAATGTACTGAACAAAACTTGCTCGGTGAAAATTCTCATTGCTCACTATTAAGAGGCTTATAAAGCTCCCGTCACGAAAAGGTTGATTTCTAGCGAATCAAACGTACCCTTTTTCAAGTGATGTCAAATCTAACCTCTGTTGAAACTTTGGCAGCGTTCAGATTTCGCGTCGACGCACTGTAACGCGTTGTATCGCGCTTCAGAGCTATAGAC